AAAACATACATAATACATTACAGCATACTATGTTAATATGGTATGTCATATATTATGTATTAGTACATTATCTTATATATTGAGTAAACTTTAAATTATATATTAGTAAAAACAGCTTTAAGATTCCAAAACTTAATAAGCCTCGTTTTATTTCCTCATGAGGAGGTGATACATGTTGTGTGGGATAAGGAGTGTATTATTTAGTGGCAGGGAAAGCACTGGAGAGAGAGTGGGGTGACTGGTTGCCATCCTGATGCTGCCAGCAGCTGGATATCACTTAGAGTCTCTCTTTTTCTCACCTGTGAATTGAGGGGGTTGGGGACAGTCTTAAGGAGTTCTTCTATGATGTGGCTCAGATTTGCAGATGAGTTGCGGCAGCAGTCTCAGTGGCTGCCGGTTGATAGAGAAGCTGAGTCCGCTGGCGCTCTGCTTCCTAACTTCCGCTTCTCTCCCGAGAAAGGAGTCATGGTTTCTCCTTCAAAGGTCACAGCTTTTGAGCTGTCGACTTTCCCTTTGCTGTCTCACCTCCATTCTGCTTTGGGTCCTGAGATATAAGTTATAACTGTTCAGCTACAGACCCATTTCGTTCTTTGATGTTTCCCAGGGGCCTCAGTTAGTGCTTGGCCTGGTCAGCCTTGTGGGGTGACTCAGTAACACATAGGAGCGCACAGTTTTGCGGAAAGGCAAATGCTTGTTCTGTCACTGGAGCACTGGACATTTGTGCAAGGTACCCGTGGGGCACAAGAAGGGTCCTGTTGGGTAGGCAGAGTTGGAATGGAATGACTTTAGGATGTTTTGAGCTGACGTTTGAAAGGCAGTTCTCTCCCGAAGTGTGAAGGCATTGTAGGCAAAAATAAAGGCAAGGAGATGGCAGCGACTGGCCAGTGTGGGTAGGGAACAGGTTATGAAGTGTTGAGGGAAAAGCCTTGGGAGTTGCGGTTGGAGAAATGAGGCCATAACCAAAAGAAGAGGAAGTCTTGAATGCCATGCAAAAGAATTTGGCCTTTCTTGTCAACAGAGGTAGCTGTTGAAGGACTTGAGGTGAGAGTTACCATAATCATTTGTATTTTAGGAGGAATATTGATGATGCCATGAATTAGGGCAGGGGAAATGGGATGGGAAGAGGGAAGACAAATTGAGGAGGTCACGGCTGAGAGACTGAGGCAGAGAGAAGGGTCGAGAACTCCTGAGTTTTGATTAAGGAAGCTGGGTGGAGGTGGGGTCATGAATGAGATAAAGAAAGCAAGAGGACACAGAGGGTTTTTTGGCAAATGTGAATTCAGCTTGGGACATGTTGGGTTTGCGGTGCTTGTGGTCTGTCCGAGGAGAGGTGCCCATTAGGCAACTCAATGTTTAGGTCTGCCTTTTGGGATACAGGTCTTGGACTGGAGGTAATGGGTTTAGAATTCATTAATTAATCAACAGCAGTTATTAATAAAACATCAGGGGAGTGAATGAGAGTACCACCAAGAGCACGTGGAGTGAGAGGAAATCAAGGCAAAGAACAGAATGTGGAGCCCTCTAGCATATAAGTGTGGGCAGGGGAGGACTTCCCAGGTGGCTCAGTGGTAAGAATCCGCTTGCCAAGCAGGAGATGTGGGTTCCATCCCTGGGTCGGGAAGATTCCCCTGGAGAAGGAAATGACAACCCACTCCAGTACCCTTGCTTGGGAGATGCCATGGATAGAGGAGCCTGGTGGGCTGCAGTCCGTGGGGTCGCAAAGAATCAGACATGACTTAGCGACTAAACACCACCACAAGGGAGGGGGAAGCCTGCAAAAGAGGTGAGACTCAGCCAGAGTCCTAGGACCAGCAGGGAGGGGATGTTGGAAAAGTGGCGTGGGGGGGTGGGGGATGGGTTTCTGGAAGACGGGAGTGATGCTAAAGGGAAATCATATAAATTAGGTGCTTTGTAAATATAAAAGATATTTATATAAATATCTAGCTTAGTTGTGGCCGACTCTTTGCTACCCCATAGACTGTAGTTCACCAGGCTCCTCTGTCCATGGGATTTTCCAGGCAAGAACAGGAGAGTGGGTTACCATGCCCGCCTTCAGGGCATCTTCCCAACCCAGGGATTGAGCCCACTTCACTTGTGTCTCCTGCGTTGGCAGGTGGATTCTTTACCACTGGTGCCACCTGGGAAGCCTGTATAAATATAGGAGGTTATTTATTTGATCAGTGGTGACTTTTGCCTGAACACTTTCTCTGCTGTATTGGGTTACAAGTCAGTCAGTGGAGTGTTAAGGAAGTTGAAACTGGAAGTAGGTCCCTGAGGATGTAGTGGGGCGGGGAAGGGGTTGTTTCTCCCCATTACTTGACCTGTAAACCTTTTTGATGATTTCTGCTTCACCCTCATCTAGTCAGACACTGAGTCTGGCAGTGAAGGGGATGTCTGAGTGTGACCTTGTTTCTCAGCCTTCCTGAATTAGAATCCTGACTTCGTTATTGACAACCTGTAAGATCTAGCACAAATTACTTTATCTGGCTTTGCTCCAGTCTCCTCACATATACCATGGACATAATAACAGTGTCTCACAGGATTGTGAAGGGTTAAATGAGTCAAATACTTATTTTACCATCAGTGCCTGGCACCTAATAAGCACTCAGTGAAGGTTAACTTTTTTTTTAAAAACAACTTTATTGTGGTGTAATTTACATATAATAAAGCTCACCTGTTTTCTGTGTATAGCACTTTCTGATAAATTTACAGAATTGTGCAACCATCACTACTTTCCAGGTTTGGAACATTCTCATCACCCCAATAAAATCTCTCACGCCCATTTCCAGTTAATCTCCATTCTCATTCCAGCCTTAGGCAACCGCTTACCTAAGATATTTTCCATTTGTATAGAGTCCCCTTTTCTGAGCATTTCAGGTAAATGGAATTATACAGTATGTGGCCTTTTGTGCCTGGTTTCCTTAATTGTTTTTTAGGTCTGTCCTCATTGTAGCTTATTTTAGAACGTCACTTCTTTTTATTGATGAATTCTAGTCCATTGTATGGACGTGTAATGTTTTGTTTACCCATTCACCAGGAGATGGATGTTGTTTCCACTTTTGCTGTTATGAATAGTGCTGCTCTGCACGTTCCTGGGTGAGCCTTTGTGTGGACATATGCTTAATAGCTTCTTAATTGGTCCTTTAGTCTCCTTCAGGGGTCCTCCTGTTTCTTTTCTCATCCCCCTCCAATCTGTTCTTCACACTGTAGCTAGAGTGACCTTTCTAAAATGTGAGTCTGATTATGTCATTACCCTGCTTAAAGTCCTTCAGTAGTGCCTCGCTGCCCTCAGAATCAAGTTCAACCCCCTGACCTGAAGGATTTATTTACTAAGAGTCTTCAACATCCAGAATCTTATTTCCCTTTCCACCTTCTGTTTCACTGAGCCCCCTCCTCAACTTCCTGCTGCAGCCATTCTTTTCTTCATCCCTGTTGTTTCATTTGTTTAACCATTCACTAATGACCAGGCTTACTGAGGCTCTGGGGTATAATACTGGACAGGACAGCCAAATCCATGCTTTCCTGGGGCTTTGTTTCTCGTGAGCAAGACAGGCAATAAACAGGAAAGGATCAGATAGTGGTAAGTGCTGTGAAACGAGTGAAAATCCCTGTCCTGTCTGACTCTTTGCGACCCTATGGACTATACAGTCCATGGAATTCTCCAGGCCAGAATACTGGAGTGGGTAGCCTTTCCCTTCTCCAGGGGATCTTCCCAACCCATGGATCGAACCCAGGTCTCCCCCATTGCAGGCAGATTCTTTATTAGCTGAGCCACAAGGGAAACCTGATAAGAAAATAATAAAAGGATGATATGATACCTCGGGGTTAGAGGTGCTGATGACTCACATCTTGTGGCCTGAGTATTCCTCGTTGCCTGCGTCCTATTGCCAGCTGTCTGTTTCGTGTTGCCACTTGCTGTTAAGCCCTGTTGTTTAGTGGTAGCTTCAGGTGGCACCCGCCTCTTTCTTTTTAAAGTGTGCATTTTTGGCTGCGCCGAGTCTTTGTTGGTGCGCACAGGCTTCCTCTAGTTGCAGTGCTCGGACTTCGCGTCGTGGTGGCTCCTGTAGATGAGCGCAGGCTCTCGGGCCTGCGGGCTTCGCTGGTTCTGGCTTCTGGGCTCTGGAGCACAGGCTGAGTAGTTCTCGCTAGTTGTGGCACATGGGCTTAGTTGCCCTGGGGCTTGTGGAATCTTCCCAGACCAGGGATCGAACCATGTCCCCTGCATTGGCAGGTGGATTCTTAACCACTGGACCACCAGGGAAATCCTAATACCCTCTGCTTATAGTACTCTTGTATCCTACTCCTTCTGTTCCTAAGTACTGTTCATCCTTCTTAACCTTCTGCCCAGCCGCACTCCCAAAGCCTGGCTAGATGCCCTGCCCATCTTGCCCACGGTGCTGTCTGTCCTTCGGTTACAGGCCAACTGACTTAAGTAACATCCTTTACATTTTATTTAAATGCATGGTGGTCGTCTGTTTCTTCTTCTCTTTAAGCAGCTTGATGACTGTTAGAATACCTGAAGTCTAGCCTAGTTCCTGGCACAGAGTTGGTGCATAAAGAAATCTACTGAAAGAGGGATTGTTTGTGGTTAGCTGGGAGGGAGGGAGGGACACTCTTTCATTTGGGACTGGAGGGAAGGAAGGCGCTAAGGCCTGCTGCAAGTGTAAATTAATTTGGAGGATGAGGGAGGAAAGTTGGAGGAGTTCTGATGGCTTATGTTTTCTCAGAGATTACAATTTAGTGCACAGTATAGAATGAGGGAAAGTGTTATTTTTAATGAGCAATGCATTAGAAGAAATAAAGAAGTAGTGCTGTGGGGTGCATCTTAACATCTTAAAACTCTTCTTGGTTTTAGTTTCACAGCCATCAGATTTAGTCTAATTTCTTCAGGCCATTCGTTACACATATTGCCATGGATGACTGGCTTACTTGGATGCTGTTGTACTGTTTTCTTTCTTGTTCTCTTATAATTGATTTTATTTTGATGTTGCTCTTTTCAGCTTTCGGAAAATGTGATTGATCGTATGAAGGAAACCTCTCCATCTGGCCCGAAGTCTCAGCGGTATTCTGGTACTTATGGTGCCTCAGGTATTTCAGAGTTTGAATTTCTGAATTCTTAGTAGAAAAACTTTAAGTGGTGAAAGTTCACTCGATAGTCAAATTCTCCCACACTTCTGTCTTTTGATACTTGGATGCTTTTTACAGGAGAATCGTCTTCCTTTGGTATTCATGGGGAACTGGTTCTGGGACCCTCTTGAATACCATAGTCCATGGATGCGCAAGTCCCTTCCATACGACGGGTAGTATTTGCCTATGATCTATGTACATCCTCCCGTATATTGCTTGTTTAAATCTTGCCTGGATTATTTATGATACCTAATACACTGTAAATGCCTTAGCAATAATTGCCTGCTTGACAAATTCAAGTTTTGGGTTTTTTGGGTTTTCTGGAATTGCTTTTTTTCTCCTCCCTGAATAATTTCAGTTTGTGGTTGGTGGAATCTGTGGATGCGGAACTTGGAGCTATGGAAGGCCAACTGTGTCACTAGTTAGTATTGGGGTTTCTTTTAAAATGCCTTGATGTAGGGTAGGATGAATCCACTTTCAAACAGTGTTTGGAAATTTTTTCCCCTTCCAGCTCCTGAGTCCTCTGTTAGGCTTTGGAAGGTTACTTCCTAGCTTTTTGTGTAAAATGAATGACATATAAAGGGTATTAGAGGTTTGGGAGTAAATATGAATAAAAAAAATTGAACTTAGGAATACTGATTTATTGTTTCCAGGTGGTGAAGTATCTCTAATGATTTTACTTTGTAATGGGTTTCTTCATGTTTATAACCAGTTTATTCCTTCAGAGTCTTAATTATTGATGAAAATATGTTAAATGAAATCCATAGAGGATTACTGTCTCATTTTATCTGTGGATCCTGGAGGATAAGAGATTGTTTTTCTTTCCTCTCTCCTACCCGCATCCATTGATTCATCCACCTAATACTTACTGAGCACCTGCTATGTGTCTGGCACTGTTCTTGTTGCTACCAAATTTGATGGATGGACATGCTGTGTTTTGGTGAAATGACAGTGAGAAAGTAGTTGAGATGATTCATTGTGAACTAAATGAGAATTTTCATTATTTATTAGAAAGGAGTATTGGGTGGTAAATCTAGCTGCAGACTGAAATACCTTGAGAAAGATGAGCTCCTGCACAAATGCCTCACTTGGCAGCATTTGTGACCCTCCTACTAATCATTAAATTGATAACCACAAGCTGAACTTCTGATGTGTTTAGAGCAGAAAGTGCCGAAATGAATAAGAAATAGTTCTTGTCCTTTTGAGACTTCTTATTTGATAGGAACATTAAGAAGGTTTCATAGTTCATGAAGGTTAAAGAGTAAGTGGCTACTCCCTCTGCCAGAAACCCTTTCTTTGACTTCTGGGCCACACTCTTGGTTTTCCTTCTACCTTACTTGGATTCTCCAAAAGTTGGCTTAAAACTCAACATTGAGAAAACTAAGATCATGGCATCTGGTCCCATCATTTCATGGGAAATTGATAGGGAAACAGTGGAAACAGTGACAGACTTAATTTTTTTGGGCTCCAAAATCACTGCAGATGGTGACTGTAGCCATGAAATTAAAAGACGCTTGCTCCTTAGAAGAAAAGTTATGACTAACCTAGACAGCATATTAAAAAGCAGAGACATTACTTTGCCAACAAAGGTCCTTCTTGTCAAAGGTATGGTTTTTTTCAGTAGTCATGTATGGATGTGAGAGTTGGACTATTAAAAAAAGCTGTGCGCTGGAGAGTTGATGCCTTTGATCTGTGGTGTTGGAGAAGGTTCTTGAGAGTCCCTTGGACTGCAAGGAGATCTAACCAGTCCATCCTAAAGGAAATCAGTCCTGAGTATTCATTGGAAGGACTGATGCTAAAGCTGAAACTCCCAATACTTTGGTCACCTGATGTGAAGAACTGACTCATTGGAAAAGACCCTGATGCTGGGAAAGATTGAAGGGGACGACAGAGGATGAGATGGTTGGATGGCATCACCTACTCAATGGACATGAGTTTGAGTGAACTCCGGGGGTTGGTGATGGACAGGGAGGCCTGGTGTGCTGGTCCACGGGGTCGCAAAGTGTCGGACACGACTGAGCGACTTAACTGAACTACTTCACATTCTCATTCTGGTCTTTGCCGATTTCCACTAACGTCATCAAATTGCATACCTTTTGAATCATTATGTACTTGCCTCTCAAAATTCTGTCTCTGGCCCTGACCTCTCCCTGAAACTGCTGTCTCAGATAACTGCCTTCTTCAGATTGCCCCTTTGATTTATCCAACTTAACACATCCAAAACAAACCTTTCTGTTCGTCAGAGTTGCTTCTCCTCTTTATCTTTCCCAGTAAAGGGCACTGGGATTGACCTCTGTTTCCTCTTTTTTTTTTTTTGATTCTTGTATTAGACCATTAGCTGGTCTTATCAGCTCCATCTCCAAAATTGGTCTGGAGATGGTCTTCACACATGCATCTTCACTGCTGCATCTCCAGTTGAAATAACCACCATCTCTTGTCTTTCGATGAAGCCTCTTAACTGGATCCCCACTTCCACTGTTGTCCTCCCTCTGTGCTGTACCATGCACAAGACGCCTCAGCAACCTTTAAAAAAATAAATTAGCTCATGTCACATCCCAGTGGTGAATCTCCACATACTTACAATATAATTTGAATTGCTTTTGGCTTCTGAGGTAGACCATGACTGATCCCTTTCTGCTTTTCCAAAATCATCTTTTGATTCATGGGGATTTTTAAAAATTGGAATTTGATCTAAAATATGCTTTGTTGTCGGTTGATTTCTTTCTTACCTACTGCGTTAAGGAAATAGGATGATGATACGCACTAATAATGAAGTAGTGAAAGAGAACATTTAAGTAATGTTACTGTGTACCAGTTACTGTGTTAAATCCTTTCTGTCTGTCTTATGTAATCTGTATAACCTTATGCTGCTGCTGCTGCTAAGTCACTTCAGTCGTGTCCGACTCTGTGTGACCCCATAGACGGCAGCCCACCAGGCTCCCCCGTCCCTGGGGTTCTCCAGGCAAGAACACTGGGGTGGGTTGCCATTTCTATTTGACTCCAGAGCAAATGCTGTAAAGCTCTGTTTTATTGTAATTTGAATGAAGCCTTGCTTCATATGTAAAAAGGATGTGAGAGAAACTAGGGAAAGAGGTGCTTTTTAGTGATGTTCTGCTAGAGTTTAAGAGTTAAGTTCTTTTTCTAACGGATGATTTTTCTGGCTTTTCCGTATGTTGGCTCTCTTCACAGTGAGTTGAAGGAGAAGTAAGTGTTTTCTTAAACTGGTACTTTGAGAGAACGGGTGAAGGTGGAGAGACTGTCCATCAGTGCTCATGGCGTGGCCTTGCGGAGCATCACACTGACTTTGTGATGAGTTCTGGCTGTGCTGAGGGATCCATCCCATCCCATTTCTCTGTTTGATGTGCCTGATGAACTCGTTGGTCCATGACCAGCCTGGGCACTGAAAGCTCTTTGAATGCTCCCTTGTGTTTTGTTGGTTGGGCTAGAACTACACTCTCTCAGTGGTAGCCATTTGTCACATGTGGCTATTCATATTTAAAGTAAAGCCAATTAAAATGAAGTAAAATAAAGATTTCATCTCTTCTATCTCATTAGTCACCTTTCAGTTCTCGGTGGCTAGTGGCGCCATGTTGGACAGTGCAGGCATAGGACATTTTCATCATTGCAGAAAGTTCTCTTGCACAGCTTTAGAATTTTCATGCTTCATTAGATGATTTTAATGATGCGGTGACTGAGATAGTGGAGCTAGATGGCTCTTTGTGTTTGTGAATCTAGTTTCCTGCATTTCCTACATCCCAGCTTCCCCAGGACTGCAGGCAAGCAGATGCTTTAGGAAATATATCAGGGAATACTGCCTTCACCTCAGTCTTTAGCACAGCTTCCTAACTTGTGCGTTATGAGTATATTGGAGGAATTGATTTCTTGGACTCAGAGAGGTTGGTGAACATGTGCGTACCCTCGTATTGTCACACACTTGTTTTTTCTGTCTGCACTTTGATGTGAAAAAAGCTCAGCAAGGCTAATAGTGCCAAGTCTTTGAGACTATTTCCCTTACCCATGCCAACCTAACCAAAGAAAAGAACTAAGATTTGACATACTGTTTTAAAAAAATATTGCCTTTAGGTTCAGAATGCAATTAGACTGGGATTGTGCAAATTAGTAAAGATTTATTCTTCTTAAAATTTAAAGAATATGTTTATAAAAGTAAGTAGCCTCAAAGTTTATATTCTCTTTCTCATTTGGGGTTTTATTTCATATCCAATAATAGATTTCTTAAGATTTATAATTTATATGTGTTATGAAATAATTTTTCAAGTCTACAAAAATAATATTGATAAAAATGTCACCAGCTTTTTCTGCATTTTTCAGTGTCAAGTAAATTATATACTAAATGTGAGTTGAATTTTTCATGTTTGTTAAAATGCTTTCTTCCTTGCAGGACTATTAATTTATACCAGCCCTCTAGGCTATTCATATGTGTGAATATAGGACAGAATTGATGGTCTGAGAACGCTAGGATTTCTGTGTACAGGAACTAAATTTTGTTGTGTATGTAGTTTTGAGAGTATAATTTATGCTGTTAAGAAAGTGATTTCCTCTAAAGACTTTACTGAAACTATTTTTTTGCCCAACCTTGAACCAGATCAATGACTCGTTGCAGTAAGTATTTGCATGTAAAGCTGTTCAGGCAAAATAATATACTGTGTGACACACAGCAGATTGTAATGCCACTTTAATAAATGAACATGCTCTAAAGAACTTAACTGTGTCCTTGCTGCCTCAAATTCTCCACTGTGTTACGTGCTATCTCAACTGCATTGGCTTTTTTTCATACCAGGGGAAACTATTTTTTTCAGACTGACGTGAAGGGATTGGTGTTCAGTCGCTAAGTCATGTCTGACTTAAAGGGTTACCTTTTCATCAACATCTTGCATTTTTTGGTTTTAAAGATCAATGTTGGATATTGATTTTTTTTCCTTTCCTCCTTGATCCTTTAGTTT